TTCGAGTTCAATCATTTTTCTCGCATCAAAAATATTTGTTGTTTTCTTCACGCTTACCGCTATCAGAGATACTGTCACGATAATTTAAAACTGAAGTGATCAGGTCATCAAATCATTTCTCACTCCTTCAAAGTCTCGAAATCTTGTACTAGCCGAGTAGCGCTGCAGCGATCTCAAGAAGTAGTATAATAATTAGAACAGGATCTGTCTAGGGACTTCGCTGGGCAATGAAGGATATTTCATTCAAGCCGTCAAAGTGTTCCCTTGAGAGTTTTGTGAAATTTGGTAGCGTAGCGCCGTCCGCCCGAGGGGTGCAATTCGAAATGCATTGCATTGCATGTAAACTTTTCGAATCAAGAAAGAAGTATATAATACTTGGGCATTTTAGGCCGGTTTCACAGTTCGCGACTCCAGAGATTAGGATAATACGCGAAAATGAAACAGGGAGATTAGGATAGTAGGGAGAGTAGGAGATTGCGCTGACAAGATTAGATACGTATCGATTGAAATCGCTGGAGAGTAGTAGATTGCGATATTACGATAGTAGGATAGTAGTAGAGTAGGAGATTAGGATAGTAGTAGTAGGATAGCGCTGACAAGATTAGATATGTATTGATCTATTCGCTTGAAGTCGCCCAATCTACTACTCTCCAGCGATTTCAATCGATACGTATCTAAAATTGTCAGCGCAATACCTTACTCTACTACTATCCTAAACTACCGCGTCGCCACTGAACGCTGCCTTATAATGTATGCATGTTATTGGCATGGATTTTTTGGCCAGCCGGTTACTTTTTGCCTAAAAAAATCACCATTTCCAAATAGTTAGTACCAAAACCCATGTAAGGGAGTTCTACGAAGTGTGATCATAGTTAGCATACTTAAAATTTTAATAAACCTCAGCAGCTAATTTCCCCATGCAGAGAGGATAGATGCAGAATACAAACCAACATACATTGTAAAGCAATGCAGTAGCTATCACATCTGACAGATTTTAGCAGTACTGACGTAATTTGCCAGTTCTTTCAATGCTGACTTGAGCAATTAGCCTAATACACAGCATTTTCCAGTCTTCTGTATGAAAACCCGGGCATTTATGATAACAGGTAGTCAGACAACAAGAATCGAAATAACCACCAAGCCACAGTTAAACACGTTATTGCTCACCGGACTTTTCCTTTCTGCTCGGGATACTCTTTCAGTCGAACACTGCGCGAGGCCATAATATATCCTGTTGGAGTGTTCCGGTATATTCTTGCAGAAACGAAATCTCTTCCACTTACAATCAACACGTCATTGTTTCCACACTGAAACGCATTCGACATTCTCAAACGAGCTCGAAAAACAACACAACAAAGAAATGTTAGAAAAGCGCAACGAAGGGACCAGAGCGCTCGAACAGGAAGCTATGTTTCATTTCATTGCATCAAACAGAAAAAAATGACCGTTCTATGACGAAGCTCTATACCCAATTACACTGGCCGATGTCAGACTTTGCGATTGGAGCGATTGTGCACCAATTGCAGGAGCGACGGATCGCTTGAGCGATATCGCTGCGAGCGACGGAGATTTACACCGCCGACCAACGATAATTCGGCGCCATCAGCTCGTAAATCTCCCGTCGCTCGCAGCTCCTTGCCACATCGGCCAAGGCACTTATCACTTATACTCGATCGCTCGAGGCGATCCATCGCTCCAAAGTGCGAGCGACGGGAGATTTACGAGCTGATGGCGCCGAATTATCGTTGGTCGGCCGTGTAAATCTCCCGTCGCTCGCAGCGATGGATCGCTCAAGCGATCCGTCGCTCCTGCAATTTGTGCACAATCGCTCCAATCGCAAAGTCTGACATCGGCCACTAACTTCGGCGGCGCGACCATTCAAAATCCTCATGCTAATATCCGGAAATGGGGTTAACTAAGAAGTTGGGCTACTGCCAGCGCGCGGACCGGGGCCGAATTCGTAACAAACCCCCTCCCAAGTCGACCATGCCTCCTTTCAAATTTTGGTTAGGCAATGGTGAGAGGGCGATGCACCGAATTGCAGTCTGGCTGATCATCTATCGCATCGTATTCAAAGGCTCAGGTGATCCTGAATAGAAGTGGAATGTGGGGCGCATCCCGACTGACCAACGACGACATCAGTGGTAATTCTTTCTAATCTCCACATAGACATACCAACAAAAAACCGAAAATAATTATGAAATAAAAAACAATATAACATAAAAAGCTGTTCAAATACAATATGTTTTCCATAAGAACCCACAGTGATTATATCGAAATGTGAGGTAGGAGAGGCAATGGTGTGTGCAAAATTTATATTAGGGTTCCACTCGGGTAGTCCATCTACACCAGTCCAGGTTTCGTTCATTACCGAATCAACATCGAGAGGAAGTTCGGTCTGAAAATTCCATTAATGAAATTCTTCATCAAGCGGAACAAGAATACTTCCACATATCACTGTAATTCTGCTGCATTGAGAATCGTTAGGCTGATGTCAGAGTCCGCGATCCTTTGCGCGATTTTCGCGATTTTCGCGATTTTCGCGATTTTCGCGATTTTGCGCGATTTTCGCGAAACCTGCGATGGATCACAGGAGTTGGAAGTGCCCGATGAATACTGCGAGGTGTTGTTTAATCCTGCTGCGAATTCTGCTTGGCAGTAAAGATTGGAAGACGAATGTTTGTGGTTCTACTTGTTTCATGTTCAATGTCTATTAGTTCATTGAAATGCTCTTGAATCGTTCCTATTTTTTTTCAGGAATCAAACCAAACCAATCACAAAATTGCAAGTGCCCCATTTGAACAATTGAAACACTGGATATGAAACAAGTGGAATCATGAGCAGTCTCCATTAAACCATAACCATCAAGCAGAAGTGACGGCGGGATTGGAGAACACCTTGCAGTATTGATGGGCACTTGTGATTTCCGTGACCCGTCGCGCAAATCGCGAAAATCGCGCGAAGGATCGCGGACTCTGACATCAGCCTTAGCTGTCTAGTTCTCGGCATGTTGTCTTCCACGTAATATTTGCGCGTCAGTAAAATTAATCTCAAACAAGGAAGTTAAGCCCACCTCAGTAATAACATTACTATTCTCTGAACTCCAATGCAACAAGAGGACAAATTCAATGAGAAGCAAAATTTCAAACTACTATTTACTGCAAAAGCTGCTGTCAGAGTTCGCGATCCGTCGTTCGATTCGTGGACTCTGACACCAGCCAAAGTTGGCAACAGAAACACATTCGGAAGGGCGGCTACATTTATTACAATTACATGCCACTATGAGCCACATTTTGACGAAAATCTTCGCAAGCTAGAGGCTGCTAATCTCACTCCAAAGGACAAAATAAATCCACCATCAATATGAGACACGACTTACCGAAATAGACACCATTTTGCCTTTGGGTGTATTCTTTGCGTACACAGTGTCCCCTTCATCATTTTCTTCGTCTACTCTCCACCCTATCTTCTGCGCAAAGCCGGATCGTTGAAAAGGTGCTCGACTTCCCGGAAAGCAGCAGCTGCAGTTTCCAGTGCAGATGCGTACTGAAAGCAATAGCACCTGACTCACAAGCGATTTCAAGCTGACCTGAATAGTGCTATCGAGAACTTGTTAAGAAGTTCGTTAGTTCTAAGTGGATCAACAAGCTTGCTCGAAAACTCTTGAGCCGAACCACAATGAACCAGCACATAAAAATACATGACAAAGCAAAATAATACGACTCGGAAGACGTACCTTCTCGTTTTGGCCTGATAACGTATCAGTAACACCATGTAATGTGACTGACGTCATAGCAGCCAATCCTTCAAGAAAGAAATTATTGAAGCACATCATCAACCATCAATCAAAACAAAACGAAGCTACAGTATGCATTGGTTGGAGAAGCAAATCTGAAGACGTTCAAGTCTTCCAAACCATATATGTCAGGCCACCAGTGCTATGCGGTAGGTAAAGCCAAGAAGGCGTGAGTATAGGCTTAGTCTCACGTTTTAACGTTGGTTTGTTCATTTGTTTGTTCAGCTGCGTGCTGTGCTAACAAGTTTTTAGCTTGAGTTTTGGCGCGAGCAAGTCTCAGGACAAGAGCGCTCGCTTTTCAAAGTACAGGTACGAATTGTACTTTCACAAAAAAGTGGAGAGAAACGTGTCAAACGTCGGAAAATATCTTGTTGTACGACCAGAACTGGGACTGAAGCAATGATATGAAGAGTACGTAATAACTTCGTATAGCATAAATTCATCCTCCATTTCGCGTATTTTCATAGACTATGTCCAAGCAAATTTACGACAAGTCACGTATACAATCAAGGCCACTCCGCACGATCGAAGTAAGGGTCTCGATAACGAGTAGTAGCGTGGAAAGGACCACCAGTTCGGAAAAAAAAAAAGAAAAAATCGTTGGAAATAGATCTTTGACAACGATGACGATATGGCGAAGACAGCAGAAGAGCGCGAGATGAGAGATTGGACGGAGAGAAAGAAGTTCTCCGAGACTAGAGAGCACGCAGCTCAGTAAGTCTACCTAGATCACAGATTACTTACACGGTGGGCAACAACAAGGAGATGCGACTACACGTTTTGGCATCCTAACTAAATGTTGTTCTGTCTAGAGCATCTTCTTCGCACCCAACGATCCTACAATGATCGAGAACGCGGTGCAAAGGTTGTTCAAAAGGGTGAAACTTCCAAAGTGAGTACACTCGGGACCACCTCGAAGATGGCACCACTTCTGTGAACGATTACATACTACCGGTACATTCATGCTTTCCTTATTCAAGAATCGTTCTCGTTTTCCGGTAAGTCCTGGTAAATACCCCATGTCAGTGACGTTTCTTTCATTTCAGCAGATCTCAACGTTTCAAGCTTCGCTCTCGTCAAAAAGCCAGGTTACCAGCACGAGCTGTGAGCCAGGTTTACAACAGGAAAACTATCCTTTTTCACAAAGTTCTTGGAAATATAAGAACTGCTGATTCTAAACAGAATTTGCTAACAAAAGACCACTCAAGTCCACTCAGATCGCTGTTCTACTATCCAAAAAAAAACTTACTGGCAATAAAAAATTAAAGCAGCTGCGGCGAACAGTTGAGTAAAGTTTCCAAGTGTAAGGTGAGAACCGATCGATGCCGCTCACGTGTTGAGAGGCCATCGCACAAATAATAATCCAGAGGTAACAACAAAGAAACAATACGATGATGACCATTTCCCACTTGTCAACCAGTTCCGTGCTCATATTCTAGCTTCTGATTGGTGTAAAACCACACTGGAGGGAACAAATTTCTCCCAAACGTGCATCCAAAATAAGGACAACCAGGCTATCAAAAAAGATAAAAACTGCACTTCACGAAATGCGCCATTAGAACGCCGCCATACCAATATCTATCTATTTCTAAGAATTGTTTGCACTAGACTTCTCACAAGTATTGATGTTGGCGCAATGCGGCAGACCTGTCGCTCTTTGATAAATGTATATCCTCTAGACAAATGAGCGAATGATGGTTCATACAGCCAAACAGTGCGAGCTGGAATAGTGACCCAAAAATTACAAACTGTCCAGCATCGACACACATCCTTGCTCCAAAAAAGTTTGATTAATATTCTTCAAGATTCCCGTCTGTAAACAAAAACCAAAATGGCGTCAAACAACAAATAAGGCTGTGCAATGCACATGCGACAGCAAGTTTCACGTCAGACTATTTTTTTTCGTTCGCAGCAGGTTGGCCGGACGCATAGTCGGTCGGACGACAGCAACGACTGCAAGTGTCGCACAGCATTGGATGCGTATCGATCGTCGGACTTGCCTGAGTATTCGACGATTAGATGCAGTCAGACAGTCAGACAGTTGCGACCGTTGCTGTCGGACGACCGACTATGCGTGCGCCCTTTCTTATCAAGTTTCTAAGCGACAGTATGGAAAATGTATGCGAGCAACAAGCTGGTTGTAAGGATGCAGGAAAATAAAATTTTCCTTTAGAAGTTCAACACCCGACATGTACTCAGCTGGCGCGCTTAGTACATGCAACTTATCTGCATTCCAGAAAGCTTAAGGTTCTACATAAAAATAATAGTTTGAGGGAGACGAAACCGGTCAGGGAGCCACCACATAGAAAGCGACGCACGGTTTAAGTGCTTCCTAGGAAACCTTTGTCCAAGCACATTTCACCTGCTGTCGAGCGCTTGCCGGCAGATTTATGAAGGGGTAGGGGTTCGGCGTCGTCTAATCTTTGATCGTCTACGGCGCTCGTCACAATAAAGCGTGATCACTGAGCCCGGAGAGTTGCCTCGAAGTAAACATAGCTAGTTCTAAACGATGTCAGACGAATGGAAGAAGCATAGAACGTAGCGGGATCTTGGCGTTAGTGCTTAGAAGGGCAGCTCTGGCGCAAGGTAGGCTGCTCATTGTAGCAAAAGTCGAACTGTGCAAAGTCAATCTGGCTGCGGCAGTTCCGATATAACACTTGACTAAATCATGAAAGAATCATAGTCAAAAAATTCGAATATACTCCTCCCTCAAGTTATTTCTTTTGCCACAAATATGGGTTCGATGCGTGTAAGTGAAAACGTTCAAAAAACCGAAACAAGAATGACAATTCGAGAGTGATTCGAAATTATAGAATTCAACCGCACGTAACGTATCACAGGTAAAGACGCATGTCAGCTTCGGGCGAATCGAGCGAGTTCGCTAGCGTCAGCGGTCGCGTCGCGGTCAGCGAGTCACTCGATTCTGTCAAAGTCTGTCATCAGCTTAAATCATTGCGTCGAAATCCCATCAAAAAAGGGATATACGCATCACTCGCTCGATGGTAATCTGGGAGAGAAGTTAAGTTCGTGCTGAGCCATTTACTGGCATAGTAGGTATCGGTCCGTGGTAGACTTCAAATGCCGCCTAACTGAACCTATCCTCATTTCGCAGTGTGGTTCTGACCGGTAATCACGTAGTAAAAGAGCTAAAAGCTAATAATTACTGCCCGCGAGGTTAAAAAATCGATCGTAACAATGAGTCGAGATAGAATGTCAACAGCGACAAGAATAGTTGATCAGTGGTGTTTACGGCGGTAGAAGCTCATTCGCAAAACAGGTTGGCGACACGTCATAGGAAAACATGGCGAGACACATGCACCTGATCGATGAGAGAGTAGTGTGAATTTGATGAAATAGGAAATTCTGCTCTGCAAACGCACGAATAATCAAACATGCCATGCCTGGACGACGCGTGGCCATCCACGGTCGATTAGGAAAATGACCTTTTCCCGTTGCAAATCTAGCTAGCTATGATCACATTTGGACCGGATTCATATTCATAGTTGCTGAGATTACGAAACCTGACTTTCCATCAGGGTCAATCGTCCGTTCGCACCGTTCGAACGTGGATCGTATGTAGGTTGAGCATGGTTTTTACGTCTTGGGAAAGTCCGTACTGGGGATACAGGTCGTAATTCTGGAAGTTGAATTGGCCATTCCTGCATGAAAAAGGGTCTTTCTCACGTCTGTTTTTTTTTTCTGGAGTTTAGCAAAAAGAAAACATAAAGTGCGCTGCATGAGCGACGCAATAGTCGCAGCTCTCTGGGGAAGAAAGTGGCGAATTGGGAAAATCATTGGTCTCGAAATCACATACTGGTAGACGGCTATGATGGGAGGTAGTGGGTCCGGAGATTGTATTGAGAGGAGCTTATATAGCCTGGTGGGGGGGATGGGGCGTATGGATCTTCTACAGGGAGGAAGACGATTTTCGGAGAAGTGCAAACGCGATGCCTGACTCTGTTTCCCATCTCCTACTCCCCTAGTCCCGTGATCAATCCGTATTTAGTGGCTTCACCTATGTAATCTCGACTAATCTCTCTCTCATCAATAGTCTTCTAGTCCCCAATCGACACAGATTTCTTCTTCATCTTCGCATATTCACCTATTCTCTGAGAACATTATATAGGAATACTCTCGCCTTAGCGCACTTTGCTTCAAAAAACAGTTCATTGACGCATTACGGGGAACAGCGCTTAATCTGGGCCGGGCCATTTACACGGCTCCATGAGATTAACTGTGGCACCTAACATACTATCATTCCAACATAGGATTTGCTTTCTGCTGTTCGGTTCAATCGAACCGACGACGGTACACATGAACAATAACCATTACATTCAGCCGAATGTGAAAATTCTGTTTAAAGCAACAGTCCAGGCAGGGTTTCAACTACTTGGTCATTAGGCGGTCAAAACATGCCCCAGCCCAACTAAAGTTTATAGGAAATGTCTTTAATTTCAAAACCTACCTCTAAAATGCGCTGGAAGGGGTCGAAGTCCTCTTGGAGGGGGCGGATCACCCATAAAGAGGCGGATCGCCCAACATTCGCTGTGCAGAGCGCTTGCTCGACTAGCGGTCGTTGCGGGACCGCCGCGCTGTATGAGGTCGATTCCATAAGAACCCAATTGAAGCGCTTCAATTTCGATTGCTGGCAATAGTTATGTAACTTTTTTTTTTTTGCTGGTATTTGTTTTTTTTTTGTTGTTTTTTTTTTTTTGTTTTTTTTTTTTTTTTGTTTATTGCATGGCTATTTGCCAGCAGTCAACTGGAGCGCATGTACTACGGGCAGGTTCGGACAACTCGTCCAACACACATCTCCCTAAACGGCCGGGGGAGTCCCTGTCTAAGCCCCTGCCCGACGTTTTTTTCTACTTTTTCTATCTCCATTGACCAACTTCTCACCTGCAACGTCATTATAGGTGGTCCTTACCCGCGAATTCGTTCCTGGATTGTTGCTTTAGGCTGCTTTCATAGTCTGCGGTCCGTGCCGTCCGCGCCGTCCGTGCGGACGGCTCGGACAGGGTGAAAAACGTCAACACGCG